TATATATATATTTAAAATAATAATAATAATATATTTAAATAAAATAAATTGTTCTCTTATATATTTATAATTAAGCTATAAATATTAAAATTTACTGAAAAAGTGATAAAAATATAGATATTAAATATAAGCGATCAATCGGCGTGGGCTGTACCCGCCGTTCAGCAAATCAGGAGTCTCTGAAGCATCCCGACGTTGGAATCAATTAAGCTTAAGAACTACGCAGAGCAGTGGAGCTTTTCTGCGGACGATTCTGCAGCCTTCTCCCCCGAGAGGCGTCCCAAGTGGCGGAAACTAACCCAACCCTACTTTCTTTCGTACTGCCGGCAATGGGCACTTCGTCATCCCATTCCTCGCCTCCATCTATGGAAGCTGCCGAAGAGCTCCGCAGGAATCGAATCCTATCCAGCAAGCTCTACTTCAATGTGGCTCCATCCAAGGTATCCCAATTCTCAAGCACGTATCTCTCACCTTTTAATTTTTCTTCAATACGTGCCCTGTTCTGGTTGCCTCAGGTTGCCGTCATCTATTCTCCTTCGTACGATATAGCGTTTCTTGGAATCGAGAAACTGTAAGTGTATAACGCGTTTAACATGATCATCCGCGCCTAGTTTTTTATATTGCCGGGTGTTAACATTGGCTTAAGTTTTTTCTGTGAGATTGACATTTATGTTGATTGAGCTATTTCTTGCTATCGATAAGAAAATCGAGTTAGCATATGTACTGGATATCGTTAACTTGGAAAAAAAATATTGAGTTAGAGAATCGAGATTATAAATCAGGTCAGAAACTCATAATCACTCTCTATTACTATTTCTATATACATATATTACTGAATTCTTATGTATTACATATCTAATTCTTTATAATGTGATAATATTATAATATCTAAATGTTATAAAAATTATCACTAATATCAACTAATCCAAAGTAAAATATACCTTTTTATACATGTTTCTGTGACAATTAACTAATTAAGTGGTATGTGTGTGAATTGTGATTCCCCCTTATCATTAACCAAAATATTTGATTATGAAGTTTAAAGTACAGATGGAGGGTGACTATGGGGGCTCCCTCCCCAATGTTTTCCCCTTATTTTTATATGGACAACAAATTGTAGACAATACAATTCATTTCTATATTAGTTGCATTTTCAGATGCTTGTGCATTGATTTTTCCTTCAAAGTGATGAATGAGCTGTGAGTCCTAGTAGAGTTTATTTCTATAAATTTGTATGATATAGTATTCTTGCGAGGCATCAAATCTGAGATACAAATATTGGTAGCATTTGCAGTCATTTACTGACAACAGAATATTAGTTTCTTGCTGTGTATGCATAATTTATTATCCCCTGAACTGTTTGGGTATGAAGAAATCATATATATGTTAGTATGGTGTTATTTGACAGCTACCTTGTCATGGTGTTGTTCTAGGGCTATACAGGCGTAATGTATTTGCATCGCATTAGTGAAAGGGAATGACATGAAATTCTATGTGAACCAAAGACCCTGGATTGCATGCATATTAATTATCTCTTTATATGCTTTTATCATGACATGAACATTCATGCAGGCACCCTTTTGACTCTTCAAAATGGGGTCGCATCTGCCAGTTCCTGACTAATGAAGGTGTTTTAGATAAGAATAGAATAATAGAACCATTAGAAGCTTCAAAAGATGATTTATTAGTGGTAGGGATCTTTCCTTTACATGTATCATTATTATTATAGGTATGTTTATTAGATAAATTATCAATAAATCTTCATTAATTCTCAAAACAGGTGCATCCAGAATTATACTTGCGTCGTCTCAAAAGCAGTGTGAATGTTTCTATGATTCTAGAGGTAAATCATATCCATTTGGTTTGATCTTTGAAGTCCTAAAAGCTGTTGAGTTTTTTTTATTCTTTATTTTTCGCTTTTTTAATCTCTAAAGCAATAAGTTTCAAGCTCTTCCTGCCTGTGGCAAAGTCTAAATTTCATGCCTAAAAATTAATATTTTTTTTGATATAATATTTGGGTTGAATATTAGTTTTAACAAAAATATACACTTTACTAAAATCTATCAAATTAAAAACAAATCACAAATAATATTTCTTATATAAACCGTTTATTCCTCCTTTAAATGCCAAACTAGCAGATTGATGCATGCTCGATCAAGGGATATGTGAGCTTTTAGATTTCTCTTTGAGATCTAAAATCAATTGCTAGCGGTCATCGGGAAGGAAGTGAACATAGAAGGCCGATGTCTAGTGTTCAATGCAATGATCGACAATCTTGGCCTTGTAACAAATAGAAAATATTGCAGCGACCCTAGTATCTCAGTAACATCAAATTGTGGCATCATGAGCACTAGGTGTCCAAATCCCTTTAGTATCTATCGCAGGTTGGTTTAGTAGCTTACAAGATGATGTTAGTGGGCTTGACATCTTTCTATTCTAGTTTTTGGAAGATGTATACAATAATTGAAGGGAAGGTGGATTAAAAATAGTATATACTACAATATAGGGTGTAAACGAGTCGAGTATCTGCCTAATTGAGTTAAGCTTGTTTAAATCTTGTTGAGCTCGAGCTCGGTTCGTTAACTTGAGCTCGTTAAAAAAGCTCAAGCTTGACTCACGAAATAACTAAAAATATTTAGTTTATAGTTTATTATGCTATTTTAAAATTAGATTTAAAATATATTTTAATTTAAACGAACTACTCGATAGGCTTATGACCAAGTCTAGCTGAGCTCAAGTGATGTAGAACTAAATGTACGGGAAATTATGCAATGTTAAAATTACACGCCTCGTAAGTTAGAGTAATAATAATTATGTTGGCTTCTAGTGATTTAAACAAGTATCAAAACAATAGAGAGATGATTAAAGCTTAGGCCAAACTACATGTAAGCGTTATAATCATGAATAATCAATTACAATCAAGATGAGCATAGCATGCGGATTTTCAAAGGAAATTCCTGAATTAACAATAAGATTAGACACTACTTGTATCCCTCACTCATACTCTTGATGTAGGCTAAACGGAGATAGGTTGCACAACCTTCATGATGCCACAAATTAAAGGTAAGTCTTAGAAAAACAAAGACTTGGAGGAGAAATTCAACTTTATCAGGATTTGGAAATGATATGCCACTGAGCTGGGGAGAGTTGTTCGGAGTTAGTTTAGGATGGGAAAGAGGAGAGAAATAAGGAGAGATTGGGAGGGAAAGGATGAGGGAGTTTAATTTCAGGTTTTGAATTTGAATTGGGAGGGAAATAAGTTCAAAATTTTTGAAATTAATTTTAACCAAAAGGGGGAAAGGTGATTGGGGAATTGATGGCTTAATTGAGGGAGCTTTAATGGGCCTATTAAGCAGAGGAGAGAGAGGAAGAGGGGCCGACCAGAGTAGGAAAGGGCGGGGGTAGAAAACAAAGGAAAGATGTTCACATTCATTGAATGTGAATTTGGAATCAAATCCACTTTAATTTCAGATCTACAAAGATTATGGGGCTTCCTAAAATAAATTAGATCATTTAGGAAATAGTTTGAATTTCAAATTTATTTGAATTTGAATTCAAAAACATCCCAAGTTAAAGATGTGATATTTTAAGAAAGTAGTAGGATTTGGAGGGAATGGAGGGGCTGGCGGCTAGGGTTTGGAGGTGGGGGTGACTGGCGGTTGATTGGTGGGCTGAGCCGGTGGTTTAGGGAGGGTTAGCTGGCTTTTTAGGGAGGGTTAGCCGGCGGTTTAGGCGAGGGGTTGTTCAGAGGTTTGGGAAAGGAGGTAGGGAGGTTGGCGGTTGTGGTGGAGGCGGGGCTTAGGACCGGCAGTATGGAAAAAGGTTTAGGGGATGGGTGTGGCCGGCAGCTATGGTTTAGGAGGGTTAAGCCGGTGGCTATGAAGGAGATTTGGCCGGCGGTGGAAGGAGGAGGAGGGGAATGAGAGAAGAAGATTAACCACGATCCCGAATGCTTCCTGCAGCTGGCGGGTGATCCGTTGCCCTCACCTAGGTTCTCACCAAAGCTCTCTCTCAAGCTCACAAGAAACCATTGATGAAATTCTCAAAATAATATTCATTACCCTCTCCAAAGGGGAGGAGGGGATATAAATTGCTAATGTCTACAATGTCGAAATAAAAGACACAAATGAGTAAATGACCATAAGGGTCACAAACAACTATTCCCTCAAGTGATGGTAGAAATGGAATACATAAATAAATCAAATACATAGAATAAATCAAAAATAAATCTGTGTGATCGTGACCATATTTAGTCAGCCCCGTCTTTAGTAAATTCTCCACGGTCGGATGTCCTCATCATCGAGCTTATATAATATACTAGCTTGACTATAGGCTTGATAAGCTCGACTCATTAGCTTGTTAACGAGTCAAGTTCGAGCCGGCTCGGCTCGTTTACACCCATACTACAATATATTATATTTCAAGTTGGTAAGGTTTTCCATTAGTGTTGTGTTTGATCGGTCCAGCTGGTTCGACGGGACCGGCTTATGCGAACAGAGGTGGACACTTCCGCTTCATGTAAATAGCTCACGCACGCCCGGTCGTGCGTGAGCTATTTTGGAAGGATTTTTGAGGGATTTAGGAGGGGAATTTGAATGTAGGGACTGCTTAGAGATTTCCTTTTGAATTTTATGCATTTTTTTAATTTCTTCGTTTAATGTTAGTTTACAATAACTTTGAATTGTATGCATTAAATAGTTGGTTCTCCTAAGGTTAGGGAATCTTGAATTTGGCTGAAATTTGAGATCTCTTAGTTTCTTTGGGCTCTAGCGGCGTTTAGAGATTTGGGAGAGGAAGATCCTCCTCTCGAATAGAGGATCAATTGTACCTTGGTATTTTTCGTTTCCCTTTCATCAAATAATACAAATTATCTACTGTTTCTTGGTTTTGTGTTGATTTTTGTGGAGAATTCTCGCTGTTTTTTGAAGATTGATAGGAAATACTTGATATCTATAAGTGTTTCCTATCATGTTGCTTTTTTGAAAAAAATAGAAAGAGGGGAGGAAGTGAAAGGAGAAGAAAAGAGAAAATATGAAGGAAAATATTTTATATCTTCTTTGAAATAAGGAATCTCCATCACTGTGAGGTCGTGAAGGTAGGCTAACCTTGATAATTAGACTATACCCGAACCCAATCAACAATTGATTAATTCGAAGAGGAGGAATGATTTCTCAAAAGATTGTGCATACTTTAGATTTTGATAACTTCGATCTAATCTAAAGAGGACTAAGCTTGGAAAAAGAAAAGGTTAAATCATGCTTCCCTGCAAGCTAATCTAAAATCCGCTAAAACAAGCACTCATAATACCAATGATGAAAACTGCATACTCCAAAGTCATATTGAATTGGTATGAGTACCCTCAAATTAGAGATTTGCCCATAATTTAAACTAATTAGAGGGTTTAAACATCTAAGTAATCTAAGTGAGTTTTGCCAAGGGTTCAAGTTTTAATGACTCAAACTAAACTCAATTAAAAACAAACTGGGGTCAAAGTGACGAAGATAATTCAATGCATTTAGTAGAACTTGGACTTTCAATGAGAAGAAATAGTGGACCGAGTGCAATTGAAAGAGTTGGACTTTGAAAAGCTTCAGGTTTAGATAACCTGGGCCAAGTTCATCCTAAAGGGAGCTAAATTGTGGAAAATGGAGATAATTCAAGGAATCTAGAACAAGTTTGAATACAAGGAGAAGAATTGGAGGACTCAGTTGAACTTAAATATTTGGATTTAGATTATCTTTTAGATTTTCATATGTTAGACTATGCTTAATCAAAAGGTAGCTAAATTATGGTCAATGGATAAAGTAAGAAACTCAAGGCTTCTAATTAAGTTTAACTTACAAAGGAGAGGAACTGAAAACAGAGTCTACCCAAAAGAGCAGAACTTGAGCAAGATTTAGGTTTTGATAATTAAGGCCAAGCTTGTCTTAGATGGAGCTAAATTGGGAAAGCTACCAATTAAGTGTAGTACTTCTTCAAGTATTGCCCATGGATGGGAGATATTGGATGTTCACCGTTGACTGCAACGATATGAGAAGCTCAACCTTCAACTAATCAATTTCACGCTTCAAAGGGAAAACTTGACAATGTCTTACTCGACACAATCTCCATCACTCTTACAAAACCAGCGATCGAATGAGTAATAGACAAGTATAAGAATTGAAATTACTCTAGCAGGAATAGCTTGACTTCATGCTGGTATAAAGAGTCTTCTCCCGGAAGTATTAAAGCACTCAAAAAATTTACATCCAGCAAGCACATGCACAGGAGGGTAAACCTGAAATTGTATTTTCATATTCAGTATTCAATGAATTTTACATGTCCAAGGAATTCCTATTTATACGCTTCAAATGATCCAAAGTAAGAAACTATACAAAGTATATCAAAGTCTACTTAAAATAACAGGTTTCAATTAATTTTAGAAGTAGAGATCCTAATATAGTTTAATTCCTGAATTGCAGTAGGAATGCATCAATAATAGGAAGGCAAATTATGTAAGCAAATAGATGACCAAAGAGCAACGCGAGACTTTGGATCGAACTGGTTAGGGAATGGGTGACAGAATGAGGTTGTGGTAGATTTGAAAATGCACAGGGACTAATGGGGAAGCTAACTGGTAGTCGTGGGAGAAGACGATACACAAAAACTGCTTGATACATGTGCTCGCACGTTTGCAAGCCCTCTCTTTCTCTTCTATAAGATTGTTGGAAATATTTAATGACAACGACATATTTTGTTCTTATATAATGAGATCAGCATGACTATAACTTGCAATTCCCTATTAATAAAATATTTGCGGGACATTTAATCCACATAAATCACAAATTTATTCTTTACAATAGA